ACATCTGCATTCTCTGTCTTCTAGAGCATCCAGGACCTTGTTAAAGTGATCCAGTAGCGGGACAGACAGGAGTGACCTGTTCTAACCCCATGTTGCCCTGGGTTGTGTAACTGATGGGTATCTAGATGGGTGGTGATCTTGCTTCTTTGGACCCTTTCAAAGACTTTTATGATATGGAATGTTAGCACTCTCGGTCTGTAGTTCTTTGCTATTGCTTTACTTCCTCCTTTGTGGAGTGGGGCTATGTCTGTTGTTAGTAACTTTAAACTGTCCAAACATACATCTGCATTCACTCGTAGAACTATGTTCACTCGCCTAGCGCTCCGAATATTTTGAGAAATAAAAAACTTGTTTTTTTTTTTAAATGAAGAGCACATTTTTCTACATATTATAGGATAAAATTTTTTTTTAGGGTCAGTATTTACCGAGATATTTTCCCAGGATGCTCACGTGATGATGACGCCGACTCCTGCCACGTGTAAAGGTGTTGCCGATGTACCTTTTTTTCTCGTTTTTATTTTAATTTATATATTTTTATGTTTGATAATTACAATTTATAATAGTTCTTGTGATTTCATAGCCAATCTTTGTTCTGACACTAATATTAGGTACTGAAATAGTACTCAAATAGTCACAGTCACATTGACAGGTGAACATTTACACCTGCCTGGATCATTTACTATTGTCTAGAAACATACAAGTATTTATAGGTCCCATAAATGTTTTAGACACACTGGAGTATATCTTCAAGTATGGTGTTATGAAAAGCCTCCCTATACTATTGACAGCCCAGTGATGCTTGATAAATATGCACTCAGGGAACCCTGCTTTATTTGTTTTCACTGTTACACACAAACATGTCTGTCTGTCTATGTATCTGTCTATCTGTCTGTCTGTATACCTGTCTGTCTGTCTATCTGTCTGTCTCTGCTTATCTGTCTGTCTAGCTCTGCTTATCTGTCCATCTGTTTGCCTGTGTGTGCCTGGAGTATATGTGAAACTCCTTGAAGAATGGTGTTATGACAACTGTTGACAGCCCAATGACATTTGATAAATGGTGCGCTGCTCCAGCTAACCCTCGCTGTATTTGTTATCACTGTTACACACAAGCATGTCTGTCTGTCTGTCTATCCATCTGTCTGTCTGTCTATCTGTCTGTCTATCTGTCTGTCTATCTGTCTGTCTGTCTATCTGTCTGTCTATCTGTCTGCCTGTCTGTCTCTGCTTATCTGTCTAGCTCTGCTTATCTGTCTTTCTGTCTGCCTGTGTGTTCCTGGATAAATTTAGATTTAGAAAGGACATAGGTAAGTAGTACTGGCTTTTGAACTGAGTTGAGGATGCTTGGAACAATCTTCCAAGTAGGGTGATCAAGGCTAGGACCTTGGGTAGCTTTAAAAAGAGATTGGACAAATATATGAGTGGGAGGGGCTGGGTTTGATTGGTGTCACTTGGTACGGAAGGATATTCTTGGGTAGCTTTGGGTAGGGGTCGTTTTGATAAGGACCTGCCTTGTATGGGCCAGTAGGCCTGATAATTACCATTCTTATGTTCTTATGTTCCTTGAAGAATGGTGTTATAACAACTGTTGACAACCCAGTGACATTTGATAAATGGACACTCTGGGAACCCTGGCTTTATTTCTTTTCACTGATACACAAAAACATGTTTGTTTATCTGTCTGTCTGTCTGTCTGTCTGTCTGTCTGTCTGTCTGTCTGTCTGTCTGTTTTGTCTGTCTATCTATCTATCTATCTTTGCCTGAAATTTTTGGGTTATCCTAGGTAATTTACACTATGTACAATAACTGTAAACCACAGCACTGAATCATCCTTTGCAGACGATACTAGGATCTGCATGAGAGTGTCATCCTTTGAGGACACGGCAAAGCTCCAAGAAGATATAAACCAAGTCTTCCAATGGGCAACAGAGAACAATATGATGTTCAGTGAAGACAAATTCCAACTACTCTGCTATGGAAAACTGGAGGAAATAATAACTAGGACTGAGCATACTACAAACTCTAATCACACAACAGAGTGGAAAAGTAATGTGAAGGACCTGGGTGTGGTAATGTCCGAAGACTTCATCTTCAAGGACCACAACAATGCCACTATCACATCTGCGAGGAAACTGATAGGATGGATAGTGTGAACATTCAAGACAAGAGATGCAAAGCCAATGATGATCATTTTTAAATCACTCGTTCTCTCTAGGCTGGAATACTGCTGTACATTAATATCCCCATTCAAGGCAGGTGAAACTGCAGATCTAGAGAATGTACAGAGAACTTTTACTGCACGTATAAGTTCCATCAAACACTTTAATTACTGGGAATGCCTGGAAGCACTTGACTTGTACTCACTGGAGCGCAGGCAAGAGAGATATATCATAATCTACACCTGGAAGATTCTGGAGGGACTGATCCCTAATATGCACACAGAAATTACTCCATACAAAAGCAAAAGACTTGGTAGGCAATGCAACATACCCCCAGCGAAAAGTAGGGGCATCACTGGTACACTAAGAGAAAACACAATAAGTTTCTGGGGCCTAAGACTGTTCAACACCCTCCCACTAGCAATAAGGGGCATTACCAGTAGACCCCTGGTTGTCTTCAAGAGGGAGCTGGACAGATACCTAAAGTCAGTGCCAGATCAGCTGGGCTGTGGTTCATACGTTGGATTGCGTGTGGCCCTGATCCACCGGGAGGCTTGGTCATGGACCGGGCCATGGGGGCATTGATCCCCAGAATACACTCCAGGTAGACTCCAGGCAGGTATGTGTACATGTGAGAGAGAGACAGAGAAAGACAGAGATATAGATAGACAAAGATATAAACACAGAGATATAGATAGATACAGAGACATAGACAGATACAGAAACATAGACAGAAAGACAGCCAGAGACAACCAAAGCCAGCCAGCCAGCTGGCCAGCCTGCCGAATACATAAGAACATAAGAAAGAAGGAACACTGCAGCAGGCCTACTTGCCCACCCCCCACCACTCTGGCTTAGACCAATGACCTGCCTAGTCAGGTCACATCCACTGAAGGAAGGAGCATGACATCAGACCTAGTAGCACAAGCTAGTTGGGTCCAACTCACACCCACCCACATTCACTCATGTATTTATGTAACCTATTTTTACTTTCCTCTTAAATGGGGAGTGTTAATGCAACATGGCATCAGTGAATCCCTGGTGTTTGCCACGCTATTTGCTCTAGCTGGTTCTCAATTGAACTGGTGCTCCCACAAGGTACTAATTGGTCCCAGATTTTTTAATACTGCACACACAGAGTGAGCAGACCCATTCTTTCATGTCTAGGTGACTCAAGCCTATTGCGCCAAACGTATATCTATGTTAGGACAGTTTAAGGGTTAAGTAGGGGCCCAATACTGGATGTTGTTCTTGACTTTGATTTGGCATAAAAAAAGAAATACTTTGAGTTTCTTTGAATCTCATTTATGGCTTTTAGTTCTTCACGTATTTCTTGAGTCCTGTAAGATTCCTTTAGCTTTAGTTCAGTGTTTGCTATTTCTCTGATCAGTGTCTCCCTACATATTTCAGATACATTGGCCTCTTGTAGCTGCTCTGTTATTCTTTGCCTTTGCCTGTATAGGGAGTGCCTTTCTCTTTCTAGTTTACATCTCCTCCTTTTCCTTAAGAGAATATGCCTTGAGCATACCTCGTGTGCCACAGAGTTAATTTGTTCTAGACATAGGTTAGGATCTTGTTGCATAGTCTATCTTACCAGTTTATATCATTTAGGCCTTGGTTTACTTGGTCCCACCTTATGTTTTTGTTATTGAAGTTGAATTTGGTGAAGGCTCCCTTGTGACTTAGTTGTGAGTTGTGATGGTGGTGGTAGTGAGCTGTGACGGTGGTAGTGAATTGTGATGGTGGTGGTAGAGAATTCTGATGGTGGTGGTAGTGAGCTGTGATGGTGGTAGTAGTGAGCTGTGATGGTGGTGGTAGTGAGTTGTGATGGTAGTGGTAGTGAGTGTGATGGTGGAGGTAGTGAGTTGTGATGGTGGTGGTAGTGAGTTGTGATGGTGGTGGTAGTGAGTTGATGGTGGGGGTAGTAAGTTGTGATGGTGGTGGTAGTGAGCTGTGATGGTGGTGGTAGTGAGTGTGATGGTGGTGGTAGTGAGTTTGATGGTGGGTAGAGTTGTGAGGTGGTGGTAGTGAGTTGTGATGGGGTGGTAGTGAGTGATGGTGGAGGGTGGTATGTAGTGAGTTGTGATGGTGGTGTAGTGAGTTTGTGAGGGTGGTGGTAGTGAGTTGTGATGGTGGCAGTGAGTTGTGAGGTGGAGTGAGTTGTGATGGTGGTAGTGAGTTGTGATGGTGACAGTAGTGAGTTGTGATGGTGGTGGTAGTGATTTACGAGGGTGGTGGTAGTGAGTTATGATGGTGGTAGTGAGTTGTGATGGTGGTGGTAGTGAGTTGTGATGGTGGCAGTAGTGAGTTGTGATGGTGGTGGTAGTGAGTTATGAGGGTAGTGGTTGTAGCACAAGGAAGAACAAAGGAGACAGGGGTGGACTGATGGTGGGTAGTGGCAAGTGTTGATCAAGACGGTGAATGAAACTCAACTAGTGAAAGAAAGGTGGTATAAATTTGTCCATCACTACTCACTGTATCATCACACAGCACTGAAATAGTGTATTATTAATACTCTACCATCGCACAAGTGATGATACAGTGTTTATGAAAATTTCAAGTAAGACAGAGCATAAAAATTGTTAGAAGTTTTAACAGTTTATGAAGGATATTAAATAATCTAGATAAGTACTTTAGCATACTCATGATATGCATTTTCTACATGGTTCAGACTCTTACATGAGTTCCCTTGGAACAAAAACCTTCTCTCATGTCACCGATTTCATGGGTGATCAAGATGAAATGACGACTAAGTATAACTCATAAATTTGTAAAATCCAAGCTATCAAAACGAGCACATGAAACAAAATCATTAAAAAAAAAAGGTAGTATATCGTTCTTTACCTGGTATGATCACAGTTATCGCCCGACCCGGACCCGGACTGTGACTGTGAGTGGGAAAGCGTCTGCAACTGCTTGTGGTTCCCTGAACCATCACACAAAGAAAAGGCAGGATGGTAGCTACTCTTCCCATCTTCAGAAAAAGATAAATTAACACTGCCCTTGAAGGCAAGCCCAAAAACTTCATAATTTATCAAAGAGCACAATAAGATTCCTTGCTCAAAGAGAGTTTTTACTTCCTTTGCATGGACTATCACTTCATGTTAAGTGAACTAATAACTGATATAATTCATCATGAACAATGACCAAATATATTTGTAAATACATTTAAAATAATGCTAAGAATGTCTAAGAAAAAAGACCGACCAGTGGAAGAAATGGGCCATCGCTGTGGAGCAGCTTCTGAAAATTAGTCTTGTAGTCAGCAATGGTGGAGTTATATTAGGATACAATTTACTCACACATTTCTTGACATTAGTACATTAATTACTTTTGCAGACTACAGTCACTGCAGTCTTGATATAATAGTTCTAAATACGTATATACAGTGGACCCCCGGTTAACGATATTTTTTCACTCCAGAAGTATGTTCAGGTGCCAGTACTGACCGAATTTGTTCCCATAAGGAATATTGTGAAGTAGATTAGTCCATTTCAGACCCCCAAACATACACGTACAAACGCACTTACATAAATACACTTACATAATTGGTCGCATTCGGAGGCGATCGTTATGCGGGGGTCCACTGTATATCATTCCACTGCATTAAAAATTGGTGTATGAATATTTACTAAAGCTGACTTCAACAATAAAATACCGCAGGAAACATGACAGGTGCATTTCTTTCAAAGTAATCACTTTTCTCAAAGAAAAACTAAGAAAACATTTTGTTACTTGGCTCACCTAAACTTTCTGTATGTGACACCTCCATCTTGCTGTCACCATTTTCATCAGAAGAAGTAGTCTTCGGGTGACTTCGGAAGAACCTGGAAAAAATGTTAAATATTAATACTGGCTCACAGGATCACTAGTAAGAGTCCTATACTTCCAGTCACATTGTAAGTTTTTTTTTTTCTTTAATGCACTGGCCATCGCCCACCGAGGCTGGGTGACCTAAAAGGAAAAACAAAAGTTTCTCTTTTTACATTTAGTAATTATATAAGAAGAGATTACTAGCCCCTTGCTCATAGCATTTTAGTCACCTCTTATGACACTTGACAGAAGTGCTGCCTAACTAGAGAAACTGAAAATTAAAGAGACTTCTCAAGAAAATAGTGATATTATATTAACTCAGAGAGTCAACACAACACTACAATGTGGGGTACAACTATCTCTCTTAATGTCCTTCCCGAGAGATCATGTGAAAGTAGAAACTGCAAATAATACAAAATTTTATCGTTATAAATTTCTTTCCAGAGTTGGGTTCTTTTTGTATTTCAGGAAGAGAAAGGAAGGCACTACTGATTAAGGATATGTGGAATTCTGAAGTGATGAAAATCTTATGCAGTGGAGAATTCAGAGAAAATGCAGCAATAGAAACAGGAGGATGCAAGATAATACTAGCAATAGCTCACAATCCCCCACCAAAAGGGAGCACAACAACTGATCCTGATTCCTGTATGGAATACAATAGGGAAGAAAAGTGAGGATATATAAAGAAGCCACAAACAGATTTAAACCAACAAGGAGGCAAAGACAGAGGAGAAGATAAAGTCAAATGTTCAGAGAATAAAAAGACATAATACTGTGACTGAAACAGTATACAAATGACCTGCACATAGGAGACAGAAACTCATGATGATGTTTCAGTCTGACTTGGACCCTGTCCTCCTCTAGTATATATACATTGGCTCCTTTACCTTTCTGTGTAAAACTGAGAACAGTAATGGTTATCACTATGACCATAATTTTTAACCCCTAAATGGTCCAAACGTATATATACGTTCTTACGCATAGTGCCCCAAACGTATATATACGTTTTAATTTTTCTGCCTCCAAATTTGACAGGATTGGCCTGAGATGCCTGGTCAGCATAGAATGGGGCTTAACACTCGGTGTGCACAGTATTAAAAAAATCTGGGACCACTTAGTACCTTGTGGGAGTGCCAGTTAAATTGAGCGCCAGCTAGAGCAAACATTACGGCAAACACCAAGCATTCACTGATGTAATATCGTATTAACACTTCTCTTTTAAGAGGAAAGTGATGTTAACCCCAAGTTTAGGATCTGTCAATCTCTGTCTATCTCTGTCTATGTCTGTCTGTCTATCTGTCTCTGTCTATCTGTCTCTATCAGTCTCTGTCTCTGTCTATCTGTCTCTATCAGTCTCTGTCTGTCTATCTGTGTCTGTCTCTGTCTATCCATGTCTGTCTCTATCTGTGTCTGTCTCTGTCTATCTGTGTCTGTCTCTATCTGTCTGTCTCTGCCTTTGTCTATCTGTCTCTGTCTATCTCTTTCAATCTGTCTCTGTCTATCTCTGTCTCACAGGTACACATAAATACAAGTATACATAGTGTAAATTACCCAAAAAATCCAGACAAAGTGCTATACTCTGCTTGAAGATGTAAGTAAAGGTGATGACACAGTCTTGTGGCTCTCTCTGAGACAGAGAGCAAGATGGATAGACAGATAGACAGGGAGCTAGACAGACAGACAAATAGGCAGACAGACATGTTTGTGTACCAGCAAAAACAAAGGTAGGGCAATGCTCATCAAATGCCTCCTCTAATCCTTTCTTATCAGCTGCACCCTCCCCCACCCTCATGTATGCTCATCAAACATCAGCTCTTATCAGATATTATCTCATCTTATCATGTCACTGTCAGGAGAACTTATTATTACCTAATATTACTATTACGTATTCTTCTTTGCCTCCTCCTCCTCCTCCTCCTCCTCCTACTACTACTCCTACTACTCTTACTACTCCCCCTCCTACTACTAACTACTACTACTACTACTACTACTACTACTACTACTACTACTACTACTACTACTACTACTACTACATTGCTGGGACATATAAATACTTTGTATATATTCCAAGACAATAGTAAATGGCCAAGGCAGGTGTAAATGTCAACCTGTCAATGTGTTTGTGACAATTTGAGTACAATTTCAGTACCTAATATTAGTGTCAGAACAAAGATTGGTTATGAAATGACAAGAACTACTATAAATTGTAATTATCAGAACATAAAAATTATATAAAATAATATGAAAAATAGAAATAAAGGTATATCGGCAACACTTCTGCAAGCGGCAGGACTCCATGTTGCCGTCACGTGAGCATCCTGCGCCAACTTCTCGGCCTCATATCTCTAAGTACTGACCCTAATTTTTTTTTATTCTAAAACACTTAAAAAATGTGCTCTTTTTTCTATAAAAAAAACTATTTTTTTCTCAAAATATTCAGGGCGCTGCGCGAGTGAACGTATATATACATCTGGACTGTTTAAGGGTTATAGGGGTGGACTGGTAAGTCAGCGGAAGGCCTCAGTCAGATGACCAAAAGCTCCAATGGCGTGTCATCATCTGACTAAGACCCGCGTCAGGAAATGGTTTCCTGACGAACCTTATCTAACCTAACCTTTCTGTGTCAGTGTGTGACTAGTTAATGGTCCAAGTCAGGCCAGAATGTTGTCATACCTGGAGTTTACCTGGAGGTTTCTTTCTCTGATGTGCAGATTATTTATGAAAACATTCAAAATGAAGACAACATAAAAAGCTAGACAAGACTATGTGAAAGATGAAAATAAATGAATAAAAGCCTAAATTTGCTGTAGTTAAAATTCAACATTATGGTAAAAATGCCATTGAAGAAATTTCTACATTTCCTTCTTACAATATAATTTAAACAGTGATAAATTATAAGTACTAAACAAACTCTATTCTCAGCATAAAGATGAAAGAAATGACTGGCTAAATGTAGCCATTGTTTATTTTATAAGACTGAGATGATCCTTACCTATGAATGGTTTCCGAGTAGTTAAGTTGACCATAACTGGAAGGTGACTCGGATGAGGAATTGACACTTTCCTGACCTTTTTGAACCTAAGAGAGTTGAGGTTACTATCAGTTTAAACACGCTAAAATAAAAGTGTGTTAGGGAAAAGGACACAAGTGCAACTAAACATTTTATTGTGGCAATATTGCCACAATAAAATGTTGCATTAGTCGCACTTAGTGTCCTTTGACCTAACATATTGTCAGTAATTTTTACCAACATTATTACAAAATAGAAGTAAATCATCAAAGAAAATGGAAAGCATCTGCCCACTGACTCTACAAGAGCTGTTTCTTAACAGTGATTCATTAGTTCTGAAAACTGAGAGTTATGATAATTTAGGTATTAACTGTATGAGAGTACAATTTTTTTTTTACCAAACTGCGGCAGGCCAGGATTCGACCCTACGACACATTGTCCCACCTCAAGAGGCCACACACCGTACATGTCGCCTTACCATCTGAGCCATCGATCCTACTGATAACTAGAGAAATGCCAGTGTGGGAAGTGTGGCTTTGTCAGATAACACTATATCCCAACTTGTAGTCTTATCAGCCTGGCCTCATTCATCATTTTCTTTAACAGCTCGATTAAAGAATTTCTAAACAATAATTTTTTCTCTCGTGTCAGCTTCAAGATGCCGCAATTCCAACATTTTACAAGCTAAAGTTTTATAAAACTATATCTGCAACTACTAATTATTTATGTTTGTATTTGTTAAAAAATTATGGAAGATGGTGTAATTTATAACTTGAAAGAAAAAATTTAATGATACCTGAATATATTTACTAAAATTCAGAGAAATACATTAAACACAATTTTTTAAGCTTTTGTTTGAAATCATTAAGTTACTATTCTTTTTAATTCATCTGGCAAGTTATTCCATATTTTCAGTCCTTTTATTTGCATCAAGTTTCTATGGAGGGTCAGGCAAACATGAGAAACAACAAGTACATCAAGGTATAAAAACCTGAGTAAACAGACATAAGCAACAAGAATGATGTTGATATTGAACAATTATAAAAAACACCTCCTTTCCCTAATATGATTGTTAACAATTAATTATGGTGAACAATTCTTTCAACCTGTATTGTCTTTGTCCTTGTCTATCAATCCTTTATCTCATGTACTGAGCTACATCTTTAATATATCACTAATTACACTTTTTTATTGAATTACTGAATACCTTCAATATTATAAAAACTATGAATTCTCATTCTTATATACAGTGGACCCTCGAATTTCGTAATTAATCCATTCCAGAAAGTTTAACAAAAGGCAAAGTTTATGAATGGCAAAACCATTTTTCCCATAAGAAATAATGTAAATTCAATTAATCCATTCCAGACACCCAAAAGTATTAACAAAAAATATATTTTTTTACATTAAATATGGATTTACATACAGAAAACAATGAGACATCAAGTATAAAACAATAATATCACACTTACCTTTATTGAAGACTCTTGTTGGTGTATGGAAGACGGGAGGGGAGAAGGGGAGAGGGTTAGGGTGATGTTCCTCCACAAATGTTTGCACCTCACTCCACTTTGCACAAATGCCCTTAATCTTTGAAGAAGGCACCTTCTACCCTCTCCCTCTTTCTCCTCCTGTGAAGCAATTTCCTCAGCTGGTGTACATAAGAACATAAGAAAGCAGGAACACTGCAGCAGGCCTGTTGGCCCATGCTAGGCAGATTGTTCATAAACCATCCCACTAACAGAATATTTGCCCAACCCAATTTTCAACGCTCCCCAAGCAATAAGCTCTGATGATTTTATTCACTCATGCACAAGTCCCACTCAAATCAAATTGTATGTGTGGGGAAGTACCCTGGCTGGTTTGTGTGGGGAAGTACCCTGGCTGGTTTGTGTGGCGAAGTACCCTGGCTGGTGTGTGGGGAAGTACCCTGGGTGATGTGGGGAAGTACCTTGTCTGGTGTGTGGGGAAGTACCCTGGCTGGTTTGTGTGGGGAAGTACCCTGGCTGGTTTGTGTGGCGAAGTACCCTGGCTGGTGTGTGGGGAAGTACCCTGGGTGATGTGGGGAAGTACCTTGTCTGGTGTGTGGGGAAGTACCCTGGCTAGTGTGTGGGGAAGTGCCCTGGCTGGTGTGTGTCGGGAAGTACCCTGGCTGGTGTGTGGGGAAGTACCCTGTCTGGTGTGTAAGTACCCTGGCTGGTGTGTGGGGAAGTGCCTTGGCTGGTGTGTGTGGGGAAGTACCCTGACTGGTGTGTGGGGAAGTACCCTGTCTGGTGTGTGGGGAAGTACCCTGGCTGGTGTGTGGGGAAGTGTCCTGGCTGGTGTGTGTGGAGAAGTACCCTTGCTGGTGTACATAAAAGCATATGAAAGCAGGAACACTGCAGCAGACTTGTTGGCCCATACTAGGCAAGTCCTTCACAAACCATCCTACTAACAGAATATTTGCCCAACCCAATTTTCAATGCTCCCCAAGTAATAAGCTTTGACAATTCTATTCACTCATGCGCAAGTCCCACTCAAATCAAACTGTGTGTGTGGGGAAGTACCCTGGCTGGTGTGTTCTTTCTTGAATTCTATTGTGTTTCTCGCCTTCTTTACCAAAGGGCTGGCACTAGAAGCTTTCTTTGGGCCCATGGCTTATTTAGCAGTTACAAGCACAAAAAAGAATGGAATATTACGAAATGTATCATATGAACGCGTGGGGTGATGGTCATTCGCCAATGCTACACTGACTGGGAATGGTGTGTGGGGCACCTTTGTGTGGCACGAACGCTGGGAGGCTGCTCATACGTGTTCCGGACGGCCGGCGAATGGTGAAGCAAATTACGAACTGCGAGGCTATATTCTGATAAAAAAAGTTGTTGAAAGGCGAAACTTACGAAGTGCGAGGCTTACGAAACTCGAGGGTCCACAGTATCTGTAATCATAATTTAGCTTTAAGGATGCCTGAAATGCATTTCATAAGAAGGGTCTTTCTATAAAGTAATTATACACTGATGCTCCTCACTTTACAATGGTTCAACTTATGATATTTTGACTTTGGTTTAGAAAGACACATAAGCAAACACTATAACATATTTATTAGAAAATGTTTCAGTCCTGGGACCTTAATCGCTTCTAACATACAGCGGTAGAAAGGCATTATATATAGGTGGAGAGAGAGGTGTGAGTGATGCATGGTGACCTGAAGAATGTCATGTTGGGATGAGGACAGGTAGACGATGAGATCATGTGACTCCTGTGTTGTTGGGTTGGTGGTGCTTAGCCTGCTTGAGTATCATATATGCTAATGTTTTAGAAATTTTGTGGCTTCCAGTGTTACATTCTATTGTGTCAGTGACGGCGATTAGTGAGGCTTCTAGGCACTGTTGGCATCTGAGGTCTGGTTCGATGAGAATGAAGTCCTCAGCCCAACATGGCACTCTTCAGGTCACCATGCGTCACTCACACCTCGCTCTCTGCCTATATATAATGTCTTTCTACCGCTGTATGTTAGAAGTGATCAAGGTCCCAGGACCGAAACATTTTCTAATAAATATGTTATAGTGTTTGCTTACGTGTCTTTCTAAACCAACTTGTCAGTATTTATTACCAAGGTTTATACATTCAATACTGTACATTTATTGACAGGACTTGCATTTGATTACAGTGGACCCCCGGTTAACGAACTTAATCCGTGCAAGAGGGCTGGCTGTTATGCGAAATGTTCGCTATGCGAATGAATTTTCCCCATAAGAAATAATGGAAATCAAATTAATCCGTGCAAGACACCCAAAAGTATGAAAAAAAAATTTTTACCACATGAAATATACATTTTCCTACACACAAAGAGAAGGATACATGCACAATAATAGAGTAGTACATGCTCAATATATATTGTGCATGTACTACTCTACTAAATGAAGAATAAATGACACTTACCTTTATTGAAGATGCAGCAATGACTGATGAGACACTGTGTCCTGGGAGTGCCTTTTCCTCCTGAGTACTGTAGGTCCTGTTTGGTATTTTCTTCCAGAACAGGCCTTATCACACTGTGTATGCCACTACGATTCTTAAATCTCTCAAACCAACCTTTGCTGGCTCTAAATTCACCAATATGAGCACTAGTTCCAGGCATTTTCCCTGTTCACCTGGGTGTTAGTCAACTGGTGTGGGTTGCATCCTGGGAGACAAGATTAAGGACTCCAATGGAAATAAGTTAGACGGTCTTCGATGACACTGACTTTCTTGGGTTATCCTGGGTAGCTAACCCTCTGGGGTTAATTGTTTCTTGGTATTCTCAATAAGCCACACCAACAACGGTGGTACAGCAGCAGCAGCAGCTGACGGTGGTACAGCAGCAACAGACGATGCTACAGCAGCAACAGACGATGCTACAGCAGCAGCAGACGATGCTACAGCAGCAACTGACGATGTTACAGCAGCAGCAGACGATGCTACAGCAGCAGCAGCAGCAGACGATGCTACAGCAGCAACTGACGATGTTACAGCAGCAGCAGACGATGCTACAGCAGCAGCAGCAGCAGACGATGCTACAGCAGCAGCAGACGATGTTACAGCAGCAGCAGACGATGCTACAGCAGCAGCAGCAGCAGACGATGCTACAGCAGCAACTGACGATGTTACAGCAGCAGCAGACGATGCTACAGCAGCAGCAGACGATGCTACAGCAGCAGCAGACGATGCTACAGCAGCAGCAGACGATGCTACAGCAGCAGCAGACGATGCTACAGCAGCAGCAGCAGCTGACGGTGGTACAGCAGCAGCAGCTGACAGTGCAGCAGCAGCTGACGGTGGTACAGCAGCAGCAGCAGCTGTACCACCAATAGTAGCAATGGTTGATTGTGGTTTATTATACAACCTGGCCAGCTCGGAGACACGCACTCCACTTTCATACTTATCAATGATCTTTTTCTTCATCTCCATAGTAATTCTCACCCTTATTGCTGTAGGGTTGGCACTAGAAGCTTTCTTGGGGCCCATGGTCACTTATTTTCCAGAAAAAAATCACCAAAAACACTATAATAATACAAAATGTTCCGATTGTATGCTTGGATGTTACCGC